GCCTTGTGCCACATCTAAGTCGGGCTTAGAAAATCACTATTACCCAGATGTCTGACATATATACGTATGCGAACGCACAGATAAAAGAGTTGGTGAGTGAGTGCTAGGGCAAAATAATTCCCGACAACCATGCCACCAGATAAAGCAGTAGAAGAATAAAAAAAGCTGCTACCTTCGTTGTCAGCATTGACAGGGACCAATAAAATCTATACAATAAGAAATGAGAGAGTTGTCAGTCAAAGTGTCGAAGTTTCTGTTCAGTGTATGTGCTGCTCGGCAGGTTGGTTATTTATTAGAGTATTCTTCTTTATTCACTTTCAGTTTGTGTATCTCACGGCCCCTTTATACTTGTTACTTGTAATTGTCTTTCATTCAGCATTTCCATTGTTACTTGCTGAGAAAAGCTGGTATCAAGGGAAAAGTCACACGGTCAGAGATTTTTCCCAAATGATAAAACCGTTCGTTCCCACAAGCTGAAAAAAAATGAACGAGCCCACACGTTACCACACACTTTTGCATATATCTGTGTGTTTGTATATGTGTATATAACTTTTAAATAATTGGGTTTACACATATAGACATACGAAGAATAACAAGCCTACACTGATGTCTATAATTGTAAACCAATTCATTCATGAATACTAATAAACCCATTCATTTAAGATTGATTTATGTCCCTAAATAAATAATCTGTAACTTAGTGATGATAACAAAATATTTTACATATTTTTATTTTTCGATATAATCTTCCTTGTTATTGCGCTAAATGACTGAAATAATACTGGTGAATACTAATCATAAGGGTGAAAATTTCAAATCGTAATTAAGATTAAGGATTACGCGCCGGGCTGCAGTTTTATCGAACGAGCCTTATAAAATGGGAAATCTGAATGGATTAGTAAACAAACCTTGTCTTCATTCATAAAACCTGAGGATAAACAGAGAAAAATATATTTACTCAATCTTTCTCTGAGCACATACACTGCATTCTCTCACTCTCTCACTCGCACGCACGCACACACACACACACACACGCGCACGCACACACACACGCACACACACACGCACAGACACACATATGTTACACTCTCGTCATTTCGATCTAGTACTATTGAGAAAAAGGTAATTCCAAAACAGTAGCCGTCGCTGTTATTAACGCACCGCTCTTCGTTTAATGAATTGAGCACTCTGGCTGCTGGCGTTTATATACATTCGCATATAATACGTTAGAATTTCCTTTTCTCTGCCCTGCGCCTAAATGTAAGACTGATGCCAAATCAGTCGGGTTTCCTGGATGTCTAGCCACACTAGAAAAGTCTACCCCAGTGAGCGAAATAAAGGATTCAGTTCAACATTCCAACTACCTGAAGAAGGCCGGAGCGTACAACGGCCGAAACGTTGTGATAAACA